GCAAGATTAATCCAGAAAAGCTGTAATACCATATATTTTGCAAACAGTGCATCAACCTTTTGTCTACCTCACTGCCTTGTTGAGATTAAAGTGGAACATTACCTAACTATGATCCATAAACCTATTTGAATGAAAAATACTAACACAAAATTTAATGAAAATCTTTTGAGTTCCGGAACTATATTTTAGAACAAAAACTTCAAATATTCGAAAATTAGTTGAAGATTGAATCAATGGCAGCAGCTGGCATAAAAGGATATCAGCACTATTAAGTAAGCGTTTTCAATTATTTGATGGTTATTAAATTAACACAGACTCTAAATATTCCTAGTCTTAATAACCATCTCAAAACCGAGTAAGATGTACAACCTTGTTATTGTAAACCAGAAGCTTAAGGTATTCATTGGTTTTTGGCGAAAACAGAGAGATATGGAGGCAGATATGCAGTTGCCAGTTAAGGTACGACTTATTTAGTCTCTGATGGCCACTATCGTTGATGTAAACATTATAGTACATCTAAATTTCGTCTTAAAACTTCAAAACAAAGAACATGAACTTCATAATGTTTACATTGGATCATTTAATTATAAACAGTCTGCTTAACATGTAATGATTTATCGTTAAAAAAATCAATATTCTAAACATTTTATGATATTTACAAAACAAGTCTGTATTTACACATTATATTTTTTTTCACATTAAATATGACTGATCCCATCATTTCAATAGTGCAAAATCAGTAAATAACATTAAAGTATTTGGTGTTTTATTCAAACTTGAACGGTTTCCTCACATTATACTGAACACTTACAGTATTAGGTACCTCAGTCCCATAGTAGGTAAGGAAAGACATTTAAGAAGAGCTAAAAAGGAAAGGCCTATGTTGGAATATTGATTCAATAGTTTATTTGTTTACTTTGTAATTTATTTGAAATGTATGCATGCACATACATAATCTGTGATCTGTATGTACAGGGTATTTCCTAAAAAAGTGAAGAAAGCTTACGTGGTTCAAGAATCGAAAATAAATCATAAAAGAAGTGGTTCATCTTCGACACTTCCTAAAATAGAGATAGAGTCTTACTAAAAAAATCTTCAAACTAAAAAATCGCCGCTGTAAAAACGGTTCATTTAAGTTTATCTATCTACCTATCTATCTATCTATCTATCTATCTATCTATCTATCTATCTATCTATCTATCTATCTATCTATCTATCTATCTATCTATCCATCTATCTATCTATCTATCTATCTATCTATCTATCTATCTATCTATCTATCTATCTATCTATCTATCTATCTATCTATCTATCTATCTATCTATCTATCTATCTATCTATCTATCTATCTATCTATCTATCTATCTATCTATCTATCTATCTATCTATCTATCTATCTATCTATCTATCTATCTATCTATCTATCTATCTATCTATCTATCTATCTATCTATCTATCTATCTATCTATCTATCTATCTATCTATCTATCTATCTATCTATCTATCTATCTATCTATCTATCTATCTATCTATCTATCTATCTATCTATCTATCTATCTATCTATCTATCTATCTATCTATCTATCTATCTATCTATCTATCTATCTATCTATCTATCTATCTATCTATCTATCAATCTATCTATCTATCTATCAATCTATCTATCTATCTATCTATCAATCTATCTATCTATCTATCTATCTATCTATCTATCTATCTATCTATCTATCTATCTATCTATCTATCTATCTATCTATCTATCTATCTATCTATCTATCTATCTATCTATCTATCTATCTATCTATCTATCTATCTATCTATCTATCTATCTATCTATCTATCTATCTATCTATCTATCTATCTATCTCACTTAATCCTAAGCAATTACTCGGTTACATATATATGCCATAATAGTTTTGTTGAGACCATAGACAATCCTTTTCCAACCGATACACAGTGGAAAACGTATTGTATTGTTTATGGACTACTCAAATGATTAGGATACACACACATATATATACTTTCTATAAACTGAACGCAATTGGAACATCACCACTAACATCAGCCGAAATAACTTCATACACAGCTGTTATGATTAGGTCCCATACTTTTTAAAAACTGAGGTGAATCAGAATAACACCATGTATGCCGCGTAGAACAAAGCCATACACAATGGTTAACTTTTCCATGTGTGGGCAAACACATTATGTACGATTTTTGGCTCCCACGAGACTGTGCTTTGTTATGTTTTTAAAGAGTTATGGAATGAGGTGATTTATAACTATATCATCTCTTGTAATGAAACTGTGGCATGGCCTTCTAAAATGACTCTTCCCTGATAGAATACTGTTTATATAAGAATCTGATGTCATAGTTCTCAACTATATAGTTTTGGAAGAAAACGTCGAGTACATGATTCGTGGAATTAGTGCACAATTTTCGAAGAAGCATTGGAAGATTGTTTCCATGATCCAGAAGATCTAAAAGTTTTTATGATCGCCAAAATAGTTTTTCTTCATTAGTGCTATAGAATCATATATCCAATCAATAATACTTGTCTCAAATTACTCAAATTATATTTGTTTATGGTTTTTAATTGAAAAATCTATATTTTTACTATATATGTATATAGCACATTATGTGAATATATTGCCCCCTCTTTTGATATGGCAGATACATACTTAATGGGACTTTAGTCAATGTTATAGATTTGAGTAATAATAATATAATATATAATATATATAGTTTTTCTTTTTTATTTTTAATTTAATTGCAGTTCTTAAACTTAACGATGTTAGCGATGTCGAAACATCTTCGGTTACCCGCTTAAGTTTGGTTTTATATTTCTAAAATTATTTTATGACTGATTGAAATTTAAAATTTCATCAAAAAAAATCATCAGCAGTAAACAACCCGTACCGCTTCAAGAGACATCATATCGCATTAAAATGTTAGTAATTAATTAATACTTAATCACTATTTCCGTGTCTGAATTTTGATGACACTAATAATACATATCAAATACATGAAACATTCATGAAACATTCAAATGACTAAGTAATTTTTCTAGTATTTGGATTATTATTTATAAGTATTATGGCTAATATTCGCGCATCTCTTGTATTGAGAATACTAAGCAAATGAACACAGCAACAATGACACATGCACTTTGTTTGGGTTCACATGGCTACGAAATGCATTGCAGCAGTGGGTCTTTTCGAGACTCTACATTGCGGCGACTTAGTTACAAAACTTAGCTAAGTCAAAACAAAAACAAAAATTTTGCAACAAAGCCCAGTGCAACATTGAGCGCAACTTGAGTACAACATTGAGCGCAACATGTAAATTATCACTAATACAAAACTAAGTGCAGCTGCACTTAAAATATTTACAATGAATGCAATGTACAATGCACTATAGCATGTGGTAAGTGTATTCAGCAAGATAAATATTTAAATTTTGTTTTTAAATTTAATTATAAAGAAATGCAAATTATTAGACTAACGTAATGATTTTTGAAAAATGTTTATTGTTTACTTATTTATTTACATTTATTTACAATTTTGTTAAAAACTTAAAAGATAGTTAAAATTATCTCTTGTATTTATTATAATATCAATTATGAAAAAGTTTTTCGAACAGTAGTGAGCTACAACAACAAAAATCATTTTTTATGTTATTTTAATTAATTGAATTTTTAGCTGACCATACAAATGTTTCGAGTATTTTCAAATACCCATCATGAGAGTGGTACTCGTAAATAATTTTTTGAGACTTCAAGTACCAGGAATCGAACTCAATTTTTGTTTTATCAATATTATCAATATTATATCTGCAACAAAAGCTAGCACAGCATGCCTCTAATCACATTTGCTGCAGAAAAAATTTTAACATACATTAATAAACTGTTTATAAACATTTGTTACCAGAGACTTGTTGCCGGAAACATTTGCAAAGCAATAAAAAACTCATTCAAAATTCTTATTGCTACGCTGTGTATTTCTGTATTTCTGTGTTGCTCAGTGAAAACAAATAAACAAATGAGCTCTAAATGTGTTTGCTTGGCTCTCAGTGTTGTTGTGCTGCTGTAATATTAGAATTTTGCTATTGCTTTTGAGTTTCCTTTGTTTCATTATTTGCGTTTGTTGCCAGCGCTATGCTGTATTGCCCGCTGTTTTGTTGATGTTTAGGCTTTTTTGCCAGCGCTCGTGGAGCATGTTTAGTGAAATGAATGATTTTATATTTCAGTTCTTATTGGATTGTTCAATGAGGTGGTTGTTGCCACGTTTCGTGCGCTTGCATTTTGCTTATACTTTCGTGTTTGTTGTTTTGATATATTTTGTTGCCGCCGCCGCCGCTGCTGCTGCTGCATAATGTATTGAACGTAAAACGTGAAGTGTTCGCATGTGTACGGGAAACATATTTGCCACTGAAGATTTAATTTAAACTTCTTTGTTATTCTTCTTGTGATTGTGCCAGACTGAGTGACTGAGTGACTGACTGACTGACTGACTGACGGACTGACTCGTGCTGCTGTTTTTGTTGAGTGCGGAGTGTTTGTTTGGATTTCGAGTGTCGTGTTTGAAACGTTACAAAGTCGAATACTAAATGTGCTACTGATAACATTTAAATTCATTCAAACGCATAAAATTCTAATTCATATGAAATTTTAATAATAATTATAATTATAATTATAAAAATAAAATAACGAGAAAAACAAAATAGAAAATGCACAAGTATTTCTAAAAGATGCTTTCGCTGACAAACATCTGATTTTCAAAAACCATAAATATTTGAAAAACAAAAAAAACGATAATTAAGAACAGAACAGAACGGAACAGAAACAAATAAAATTTTAAATAACAAAAAAATTTTTAAAAATTTACAAATAAATAAATTAACACAAAACACAAACAAGAAAGATAAAAAAAAAAACAAAAATTGTAGGAAAATAAGAACAAGTTTGTTTTTTTAATTATTTTTTGTTATTAAGTGTTTGTGGTGTTTGTTGTTGTTGTTATTGTTGGTGTTGGTGTTGGTATTATTTTTGTTTAATATTACAAAAATTTGATGCCAGTATTTTTCTTCATCTCCGTCTTCGCCTTCGTCTTCGTATGCGTTTGTTAAAACACAAAGCATAAAACACAACAAACGTCAAGCAAATTACATATTTTGGAAGTCATAATCGCCAGAACAGCACAGCACGTACGGCCCTTGTTTGACTCTACTTGATTCGAAGGTCCAAAGGTGAGCTACAATAATTATTTATTAACTAAAAAGAATTAAAAGAATAGAAGCCATTAAAGACAAGAAGACAAGAAAAATAGAAAACATTATTTCTATGTTAAAAGATTACAAAATTCAAATTATAAATTTGAATGTTGTTTTTGCACTTTCTCACTTTCCCACTTTCACACTTTTCCACATTTCCATTTTTTAGGGGTAACAAAATACTCTGCATCTCTATGCCACACAAACTATTCGTGTGCTCTCACCACCCCGCCGCGCCGCTGCTGTTGTCTCTCTATCGCATGCACTCTTCTACTGTGGTACACATTCATATGGTGTGTGATAAGTGCCTTACGGGTTCAGCAGTTCAGCGCTTCACTGCCTCCTCCAAAAAAACAAAAAAAAACTATTCGTAACTCTTCAGCAATCGGCGTTTCCTCTTCTCTCAAATTCTCCCATCTTCAATCAATTTGCACTTCCACTTTCAATTCGTTTCCCCATCAACATTTCATCACCGTTAATTGATTAACCTAGGGACTTTTATTTTGGGGCCTGCAACTTGATATGTATTTTGTTTTCGTCACAATTTGTGGTGTCCAATTAGAAGATTATATTGCATTATCATTTGCATATTTGTAATGTTTTCACGCTTTGGTCTGAGTTTTATTGCGCCTGCGCCATCTCCAGGCCATCTCCAGTCCATCTCCAATTGAGTCTGCATTTTCCCAACAAATGTTTTGTATTTTTGTCAGCATAGATTAGAGCAGATTTCCTCTTATCATTTAACGCTCTAGAATTTTATCAATGAGACCAATAAATCAACCAACCGACCAACCGACCGAATGACTGCATGCGTACCAGTTACACTAACCGATATCAAAATACATTGAGAAAAATTTTTTTTTGCAAATAAAAACATTGAGAATTATCAATTATAATTTTAAGATTTTAAGAAAACTTAATAGCAACCTCTGCCTTATTATTATTGTTAGGGAATGTGGCACTGCTACCGTCGGGTTTATTGTGACCCCTTCTTGGCATAGAGTAGGTCTCTAAGCCCTGTTGCGTCAAAAGAACGTAGTAAAGAACCTACTTAACAGAGTTTTATTTCCTCTTCTGCAAGAATATACATCCCTATTCTAACAGCAAACGTGTTTCCGATTCTCTTGACAGAATCTATAGTTTGCATCCGTAAGTATACCTAGTCTTGTAAGGTAGTACTTTAGTTAGTTAGTTTCTGTTAGAATTCCTGTGATGATTCTAAGTTTTTCTTTTGATAGCTTTATACAATCCTGGTGTGGCTGCTACTTTCGTGGCTAATCCTAGTCGGTGTGGCTGCTCCTTTCCTGGCTAGTTGGTCCGCGTATTCGTTTCCGCATTCGCCAGTATGTCCCGGTATCCAAAGATCCCACAGCTGATTTGATCTTAAGATCAAAATTAAAATTCAGATCTTAGGATTTTAATACTCAAAGAAAGAAATGTCTGCCTACAAGAGCTATTTGAGGCTTTAAAGACTTCAAGGATTTTAATGCTCACATACTTAAACGTACATATGTGAAAATGTTCGAACAACATATTTTGTTCCAATATCTGTCATTACGAATATTTCTATAAAACAAATGAAACAAAAAATATAAAACAGTTCGAAAATTCACAAATGTTCGATCCAAATGTTCGAATTATATTATAATTAAGTTGCTCGAACACTTTAAATTTCTTCAGAAAAAAGACGGAATTACTTGTATTTTCAGAAGAGAAGATGCTTGCTGCTCATCTCTCCTAAAATAAAATTCCTGCAGAGAACAGAGTTAAGGTTGCTGGGGGTTTGTCTCACGTCCTAGAGGCGACGGCTGTTGTCTCTGCCTAAGAATCAGCAACATACGTAAAACGGGCATTCTGATTTGGATTATAAAGTAAAGTATCTAGTGTTCGAATAAACTTGGTTGCTGCATGAAGATTTGTTGATCGCAGTGCTTTATTCCAATTTAGAGCCCAGATCTTTTTATTCAACTTGAAATATATCAATATATAGCTCACATAACATTTGTGATCTTTTATAGCGCCTTCGATATAATGCCATATCAATTATTACAATCGCATTTTTTAAACAAGGTTTTGGTTTTGATTATGGTTACTGGTTATTCTTTCTTTGTGACACATCCTCGTCGACTGCAGAGATTGTGTAAACCAAATATATGATATTAATGGAAACATAACGTTGGAATAACCTTCTGTATACGTTCTGTATATAAAGGGAAATTTTTAAATGTATGTGCACAGCTACTTTTTAAAGTAAATAAATAACCTATAATATAATTTAAATGGTATGTAAAATATACATGCTTCCATTAGCATTACTATAATTTTTATTCACTTATTTTGTATTACTGCATATAGCCACCGGATTTGAGTCAGTCCCTTCAGTATCTTTATAACTGATTTTAATCAATATCATGTTTTTTTTTCTCTGTAAAACATAAATAAATATTCCAATAACGCTTTTCTGAAAACTGAGTATTGCTAAGTTTAAACAAAAAATCAGCTTACTGGTATTTTTCTGAAACTTTTCAATAACAACAATGGATTACCCTAGTCTTTAAAGGCTAAATAGAATTTTTTGAAATTCAAAAAATGTCTTTCAGTGTACTTTTCATAACGTGCCAATCTTGGAAAAATTGTTCTCACTGACACTGCATATCCACTATGAACAAAATTAGGGTAGGACCGAGTGAGGCACGCAAACACAACCACCACCCTTTCATAGAGGACTGTGTGTGCTTTGCCATGGTATGTTACCGCAATTTTTGCATATGTCGTAGGGTTGTTAGCACCCAACAAGGTTTGGGTGCTAATTTTACTCGCTCAGCGAGCATAGAGCTCTCTACGTTTTATGAGAGAACACTCGTATAGACTCACTCGCTCTTGTGCGAATAGTTCGTTCGAAATGAATTTACAAAAATTACAACTAAATTTTTGGTTTACAACTCATTTTTCACGATAATCAAAATTTTAGCAATTGAAAGGTTAACAAAGAATACCCTAATTTATTTGAGAGGGACAGATAATGAAATATTATATGGGTCCATAATATATATGGACCAATTTGCATTTTTCCTGTTTGAGTTTCCTGGTAGCGACAACGAAGCGAAAGCGCTTCGACTACGCGAGTGATTCCACTTTGTCCACTGCAGCCCCAATGGCAGACGTCTTCGTAGACTGTGAGACGACATCTTGAGCGCAAAAAATTCATCTCTTACCCCTTATGGCATGTGCCCTTGTGCTTGATTTTCATTGTTGATACTGTGATTCTTGCCAAAGAATCGGAAGAATTTCTGTTTCATTTTGTATTCGCTGCGTTCAGCGAGCGCAACAACACAGTTCGGTACGCAGGCAAAAGTAATTCAAACTATCAGAAACTAAAATTGCAATTTCGAACAAAAGCTAATAATAAATAATAAATTAAAAATTATTTAAATTTTAGAAAAACATTAAAACTGAAATTTTAATATATGTTAAAATCTTAAATATGTAAATAAAATCAAATCAAAATTTCTTAATTGCTCTATGCAATTACTATCTATGCATTTTCACGCTGGCGTTACTCATACGACTCGCGGTCTTCAGATTGAAGCGGAATAGAAGTTTTATTTCATATTTTTATTAAATTTCATAAATAAATTAGGAACCAAAATAACCTTATAATTCGATTAGGAAAACAACAACAAATACTTTTATTTAACTATAAAGTTAAAGAGCAGATAATTTGCTTGTTCTTGCCCGAATCGCTCGGCTTCGTGAGCATTTTTGACGTTTTGGCTCAAGACAAATAAAATCATCAAAATCATCAAATAAATAATTGAATTATTTAAACAAATAATTGAACGCTTCTTTGCGACGCGGTGTGCGGTGTGCGGTATGCGCTGAAAACAGCTGTGCCAGTGCAACAAAGTTGATCGACTCAAGTGCAACAGCACGCGGTGCATGTAGTGCAACGGCTGACGAGTGCAAGTGCACCCATCGCACCCATCGCAGATATCGCGACGGATATCGCTGAGTGTACACATTGGCCGTCTAGCTGAGCTCCGGCAGATTAGCACAGTCCACATACGGTTTAGTCTATAAGCTCAATAATTAAACATTTCAAAATTTTATTATCGCAAAATTCTCTGACGTGTACTTTGCGCGTCTATTAAAAGTGTAAGTATAAATGCTGTTATGGCAGATTGAATAAATGGTATTCAGAAAACAGAAATGTAATAAAAAAATAATTAAATAATTTAATGAACAATTATTTGTATTTTAAATATACGGGCGCTTACCTGGAATGCAAAGAACATTCCTAACGATTCATACATTCGTACAGCTGGTAATTATGTTCTTCTACTTCTACTAAATTAATGTGAATAGAATAGACAGTACATATATATACTCTTATAACCACATAATATAATTATTTATGTCTAATATTCAATTTCTTGCACCGCATTTGTTCATTTGAACGCCTATCCTATAAGCTGTATGGGTTTATGGGATATACATAGGTACATTATGTAAAAAGAGACTTTTTTAACTGAGGAATTATTTCTATTGTAATAAAAGGGACATCATATGTTAAAGAACATGCGGGATGAACCAATTGAACTGTGACTACCTCTAAACTGCTTTTACTTTCAAACAGGTGGTAACACTGCATTCATATTTAGCCTAATGTTCTTGCGTCTCAGTACTTTGAAAGAAATTCTGTACGTAAAAGAATCGAAATGTAGTAGAGTAATAGCGCTGTAAGATTTATGAGAACGGAGTTGGAATCAGCAGAAGAAGAGGACGACTAAGAAAACGATGGAAAGACAGTGTGCAGCAGGACTTAGAAATAATGAATATAAGAAATTGGAAAAGAAAAGCAAAAAACAGAGAAGAATGGAGACTGTTGTTAATCAGACAAGGCGACTTCAATGTTTTGGGGATTGCTTTTTCTCTGGCTTGGAAGAGATAACGAAAGCAAACTTATCGGATCTCCT